CTGCTGAAACTCTTCAATCCATATGAATTGTCCTCGGATGCCAGTAGGAATCACGGACGTTAAATTTGCAAGGTAGAAACTAGATGTAAGAAAACAAAAGCAGGTTAGAACCCCATCTGAGCGGTACTGGTTGATTTTTAACTTCTGCGGCATTAGTTGTGGTGTTTCACAGCTCTCATCGCTGCAGGGCCGAGATAGTTCCTGCACGCTGCACCTGCAATAGGTCATCCCGCTTCTGGATGAGGTAGAGTTGCTTGGAGTGAGCCTGTTTTTAATCTAGTCCAGCCTCATGCACGGCAATTAATATTTACTGCAGTCTGGACTGAGTGATGGCATTTTTTTTTCCTGCTGTGCCGAAGACATGTTTATTTAATCTGCCACAAAAAAGAGTGGAAATTAGGATGAGCTTCAGAAAAGAGCTGGAAGCAATTTGTTGTGTTATTTTACTGTGACTTAATTACCGTAACATTCAAATTGACAAAGAAAACATGGATGCTACAGGAGGGGTTTGCTGCTAGATTTGAAAGGGAAGACATCTGCATTAGAATGGACATGATGTGTTATAATTAACCTGTTTATTATTACTGAGTTATACATTTAATAATCTATTTACTTAGGATGCACTGGAGCATATGACATGTAGTAAGAACTCACAGCAATACACAAAATTAAACTGTGGTCGGATGCAAGCAGAACTCGCTGCACGCTCACCACGGCCCGTGTGGGTCAGGGCCAGGACGAGCTTATGTGAGCCCAGCTAAGCCCTCTGCGGCTCTCTGTTCTCTGCTGACCCTGATAAGAAGAGAGAACAGGGAAAATTGTGTCAACAGGAGGAACATAAAATGAGAATGACCACACGGGGTCAGCTGAAAGGTCCTTCTAGCCCCAAATGTATCTCTGGCACTCTGTTTTTTTAATTCAGCTTGTATAAATCGCCTTTTGATGGCGATTTCAATGGAGAGGAGAGGTGGTACATTTAACAGAAGCCATAAACAGAAATCTAGGGACGAGTAAGAACACAAGCCGCCAAGGTGAGAGCTGACTGCACTCCCATCCTGCAACTGTTTGCTCCGTAGGAACTGCTGAAATAAGATAAAGGGAGAAGGGGTGGGTGAGAGCTGGACCAGATGCAGCAGTGTCCCCATCTCTCTTCAGGCATTCTAGTGTAGTGGTAAAAGAGCGTATCTGTGCCCATTATCTCGGGGATCAGTTTGTGTGCAATTATATCTGGGCTTTGTGAGATGATGGCCACTTGGGGAAGCAGAACAGCTGATACAGATGTTTTATTTGCAGCTGCTCTACGCATAGGTTACTGGCACTGGGAGGTGTAGTCATCTTCCTTCTCCAAAGGACTGTGCCCAGCGCTCTTTGGAGCACCTCTGAAATCAGCTAGCTGGCGAGGCTTTACTGAACATACTATTAGATTTTTTTGCACAACTAGTTTTCTATAGGTTTTTTTTCGTGTGTGGCTGACTTGCTTTTACTGTCTCTAGTTTTAAGAGCCACATTCTGCAGCCATTTGCACTTTATGTCAACGGGAAGGCTGTGCTCAGGGGTGCTGGCAGAAGCCAGCTCCAATGTTTCATAAAATAACATCTCCGTCCTTTCAGCAGCTTGTCATTTTCCTGTTTTGTTTAATTCCTGTAACGCTCTTCATATGAAACCCCGAAGCTGCAATGTACATTTTGGTTTTCTGTTACAATGCTTGTTTTTGTAGCGGGAAATGTGATCCTTCAAATGCCTGTGTTTAAGAGTATGCAAATCAGCTTGCTAGCACAATGCTTTGGGAACGTTTCTTTCATGCAAAACCCAGCTAGATAAATAAGGAGAGGAGGAGGGAGAGGGAAAGGGGATTGTTTGCTTCTATAAACAACAAGAATTAATTACGTTCAGTAAATAACAGATGGGTGAAGATCAAAATCTGAATCTTTCTCAATTTGGGTGAAATCTACACGTCTATCTCTGAGTTGCATCAAAACCCATTGCACAGCCTGTCCGGTGCCATGGGGCAATGCCAGCACACGACGACAAGAGCTGTGACTTGTGGCTGTCCGGGCAAGCCCGCCTGCCACCGCCGCCTGCCACGGCGGGATGGAAAATACCTCCGCTATGAATCTGAAGTGTCTCTGGACCACATCTGCTCCGTCAGGGAAACACCAGCCTACCGCCGATCCTGTTGCAGGGCACAAAAAAGGCGATTACTTCCTGGTGCTCTCACCTCCCCGAGCTGCAGTAGGAAAAGGGACCAGACTGAGTCCTGGGTTAATGCAGCCGACTGTAGAGAAGAGTGAAATGAGTTTGAAAGCTCACAGGGAGAGAAAAACTCCACGATGCAAAGGCATTTCTCTGATGGTGGCGATGTCCAGGTACTTGGCACTCAACAGCTGCGTGTATGCTTATATACCTCTTACGTTACAAACTTCTCAGAAGGCATCTTTGCTGTCCCAGTTCCAGCCATGCACGGAGTGTGCTGTAAGTGCAGGAGTGGATAACTGAGGGCACACACAGCTCATGCCACTGTGCACCTGCACAGTCAGGAAGATTGTGGTAATTGGAGCATAGGTGAAGGCAAGGAATTACTCCTCCCTGCCCCAGGCTTTTGGGGAGATGAGCTCTCCTTGTTTGTCCCCAAATAAGCATCGTGGCCGAGGATTCTCGAAAGAAAATCACCAGTCTCCAGCTCCTGTTCCCACCTCTACTAGAGAACAACCGGGTGATCTGAGAAAAGTCACTCTGCCTCTGCTTCATTTCTCCCTCCTTCCACCCTGCTGTTACAGGGGAGTTTGGCAGTCAATTATTTCACATTTGCAAACCCATTTTCAAACCTTTTTTGAAAGCAAGTGATAGAAGTGCAAATTCTTATTATTGCTCTTGAAGAGCTTTTTGCAAAGATGCTTGTTAATGAGCTTGCTTAATGAGCTTTCTTAAATCTATATTTATATCCCATATACAGCTGTATATAGATAGACCAATGCCTAAAATATGTATAGATTGCACACACATATGCCTAGGAAAATGAAGGCTGATTAAAACACATCTTTTTCAGTTATTACTGTGCGAGTATTTGTTCCTTTTTCCTTGGAAATTGGAAAGATAAAAGATCCATTCTGGAATAAAATAATGTTGTGCATATGTGCTAGATGGTTTTGTTTATGAGCCTGAAGTATGTGAGTGTGTGTATGTGAGACAGATGGTGTGTCTGTTTGTGAAAGATATGATGCGTGGATGAATGTGTGTAAAAATACAGGTTTCTTAAGAGCTATTCTTTCTTTCTTTTTCTTTTTTTTTTTTTTTTTTTAAAGAAATGACAAAATAACAAATGCCTGCTTGGTACATTATTTCACCGTGTCATGCTCTTTGTCAATATGACAGAGGAGTGTTCCTGCAGAAGGCAAAGCTGCCCCAGAAAGTGAAGGGTGCTGCCCCTAGGGTTTTGAGCCGGGCATCGTGAATTCTCTTCAAGTTTTCAAAGTCCTGGAAAGTTTTGATAAGCAAATACTTTCTGGGCTCTGCTTCTCTATTGGCTGTTTCTTCACCGCCAGATTTTGACACAAATAATCTGATTGAAAAATCAGGGAGGGGAACAGGGGCAAAAAAACAGAGAGAGAAAAAAGGAGAAGTATCTATTTCAGCAGACTGCGACTAAGTGAAAAAGTGGAAGAGGAGTCCAGAGAGAAGACGACGTCTCACTTGTCTGGGGAGATTTCAAGGCGAATCCAGTAAAGCAAAGTCCCCCAAACAGGTGATTTATTTATTCTTTTAATCACTTTTAATTTCATTGTTTTTCTCATTTCTCTGATATGTTTTTCTGAGCTTTTTCTTCTTCTTTGCTTGGGTTTGCAAGTATGTAACATACTCCACTGCTTAAGTCACTTGTCCTGAGGATTCCTTTATGGTAATGGTTCATGTAAATGAGTCAAACCTTTTAAAATTATATACCATATACTTACTTCACTCTCACATGTGAAAATGATAATAATAGAACAAAATATAAAAGGTGTGACGATGGTCTCAGATACCTGTGTCCCAGCAAGTTCCATGCAGCAGGAACAGTTTCCAGATGCAGACTTTTGTACTTAAGCATTGAGGAGAGGGTGTACGATATTTTTCCTTTAAGTTGTTCTTTTACCAGGCCAGACCTTTTAAGTTCAGAAAACTGCATACCTCTGCCGACATCAATTAATCTATGCCAATTTTGCTAGATGAGAATTCAGTCTCTCCTGTTCAGGATTTTTGCTTCAAATCTCTCTTTTATTTAATTATTTTTCCAGCCTTTCTAAGTATATGCTGATTAGTGTAACGATTTTTAGCATATGGAATTAGCTATTTATAGACGCTCCTCATATACCACCAGATTGATTCAATACATTAAGTAGGAAAACAAATGATTTGCAAGTTCACGCAGTAAGTGCATCTATACATTAAGGGGATACGGAATTTGTTAGACTGCACTATATAAGTCTATTTATCCACTGAAGCCTAAGGCAAAGTTTGCTAAAGCCAGTGGCATTCCCAACATCACTAGGAGCCAAATGAGGTTTCTAAAGAACAAATGCTGCAATTATATTCTAAACATTTTTTTCTAGATACTACAGATGTACAAGCATTTCCATTCCACTTCTTGGACAAAACTTCCACCATAATTCTCTACCCCTGCCACAGTGTCCATTTGCCCAGCCTTACCACAGGAATTAAAAATGTTCTGCTCATTTTTCCACTAAAAAAGACTCATTCAAATTACTTGCCCCAAGTACATTCGATTTTGCAAGGGTGGACTAGTGAAGACATGATTAATTTTGTTGTCGAGAACTGAAATTCTTTTTGAATATGACTTTTATATTTAAAGAGTCAGGAGTCCATAAAGCCTCTTATTTTATTTGGGCTCTTAAAAGTTTCAGGCACAGGTTGTGTTCTGTTCTGTGCTTTTTTCTTCAGAAATGTAGTCTTCTGAAAGGCAAACTATTCTTTATTTTTGGGAGCTTCACCCTTGCCAGAAAGAACAGAAAAAAGCAATATTAAGATTTAAATATAAATTAAGCAATGGGAAGGAAATAAGCCTCTTTTAGTCTAAAACTTTGTACACTCATCAACTTATATGAAGACACATATCAATTGCAAGTTAAAATTAAGTATTTCCACTGAGTGCAGTGGGGAAAAGGGTTTCATCTCTACAATTAAGCTTGTAAATTTGAAAACAGGATTACTTGAATTTAGAGGAAAAAGAAAGTCAGCTTTAGAATGGAACTTACACTGCAAATTGGGTTCCTGATTCATCATGGCACAATCCTGCAAACACCTGGTCCCCAATACGGTGTTTCGTGTTATGAATCATCTCACTGAAGGAACCAGAGAGAACAGCTCCGTAATCTAATTCAGTGAGAATATGAATTTCTTCTAAATTATATCAAAGGGCCCGATCCTGTATTTTTGGGTACTGGGCCTCAGAAGGAACATAGGATCAAGTGAAATTAGGATCCTGAAGTCAGAGACCACCCCCTTAAAAAAAACCCTTTTAATTTGGTTCTTGCACAATCTCCAGTGTTTCAGTGTTACATTACAGTTTTACATGTGACCCTCTGCAAAATCACCAGAGAGCATCACTGAGGGTAAAGGAACTTTGAGTTTGAACATAGGAGGGGAACATGCGAATGCTGGGTCCGCTTTCAGATCTGACTGGGGAATTTATAACTGGTAAAAGAAGCCCTTCTAAGGTGCTTCAAGTTAGGTACCCAAAATAGTGAAGCAGGTTTTTTTCCCTTGGGTCCTTTTCGCTGTCTTTTCCTCAGGACAGATTACTCCAACATTGTTGTTCAGCTACATGAATGACAAACGAATAAGGCCAATTCTAGCCGGCTGCTGATTTTATATCCTGTATTGAATCCAACAAAATGCCACGACACTTCCATTTTGGGTAGGCACTCCTGCCCAAGCAATGAATTCCCTTACGCACTTGCCAGTCAAAGTAGAAACTGTTGCCACAGGGACTGGCAAGAACAGACTCCATAAAAATAAATTTTAATTTTTAGCAAAAGGTTAAAGCTAAGTTCTGTCAGAAGCTTCGATGACTTTAAGACATAGCGGGGTCTGTTGTCCATAGCACTACTTTCCCTGTGAAATATAGCTAGCCATTAGTAGCAGCTGATCGCTTGCTACTGATAATCTTGAGTTTCAAGGAGAGATAGTATTTTTTCTTTCACAATCTGTGCTTCTAGCTTTCCTCTAGCCCCGTTGTGTGAATCACAAGGACAGTCCAATGCAGTTGTTAATTAACTATGCTTTGGGCTCCCAGTTCCTGTTTTCTCTGTAAAATGGGGTGGGGGAAGGTAACTTCCTTTTGTAACGTTCAGTAGTGCATTAAAGATTGTTGTGCTCGGTAGAGGCCCTTATCAGCAGTCAAGATACTGGACCAAATTTGACTTTTACATATGCTGGGGTACACACATCCAGAAAAATCCCGTTGATGCATGTGCATCTGCTTTCAACCGCCATCAGAAAAGAGGGGCTGTACTTAGTGCCTTCGTGTACCTATCATATGGGTACTACCATAAACCACTGCAAGATTGCTTATGTCACCCATCTCCAGTCCTCTAATTTACCTGGCTAAGCTGTCCGGCTACTGCCTTGGGGTCCTCTAGCCAGCGGGCAGGGTGACTCTTCCAGCGGGCACTGCTGGGTGCACGCTTTCACCCTGCCTTCAGAGTTACCCTCTGCCAGAGCCTCTTCCTCCACTGCATAGTGAGCCCAGGGCAATTAACTGGTTAATTCAGGCAGAGAAATCAGATGCCTAAAGCTTGCTGGTATGAATACCCTCCATTGTGGGCACGGTCCTGCCCCACCACATGGGAAAATCCCTTTGACATTAGTGGAAATTCCATGTATAAAGGGTTTGTGGCAGGACATTAACTTGGGGCACATCTATATTGCAGAGTGCGGCTCCATGCACAGATACCCCATCTGGGACTGACCGAGAGCAGCGAGACCCTCGGAGCTAAGCGCTTCTGCTAGGATGCGAGGTGCGCAGCTAAGCAGAGCGCACTGCTGGAAGGGTTATGCCCATCGCAGAACGTCCCTGTGTTTGTATCAAGCTGGAGGTATTTCTGCGCACGCAGCCTTCCACCAGGCAGAGATACACTTTATGATACTTAGAAAGAACCTCATTAGAGAGTTACAGAAAAGTAAATACAGCAATGTACTTCAGCGTCCCTTCCCTCAAGGGCATACTTACGGTTCATTCTCAGTACTGTTTTGTCCTCTTTCTAAAATTAAATTAACAAATCTACTCTTGGCCTCTGTTTTCTCTTATTCATCTCAAGTTACATGCAAATTTCTTGGAAAAAGATGAAGAAAAACAGGTGAGTCATTTCAGAAGAAAAAATGACTAGAGACACCAAGAATTATTTCTGAAGTCAGAAGAAACAGTGGGAATCCTGGTCCAGATTTTAAAAGACAGCTATAACTGCATTTCCAAAGGCAGCTGGGCTGGTGAGCACGGGACTCTCACCGACAACAGTGGGTTTGGCAATCCACCTGTCCGCAGCAGACCTCGCTGCGTGAATCCCACAGTACAGGTACCTGCAGCCGTAGGCACCTCTGTAATCAGGCCCTCGGACCATTAAACAAAACACCACCGGGCTATGTAATTATATTTAGCGTGTAGGGGTAGTACAGGCACTTCTGAACTGTAGGGAGCAGACCCTTTCCATCCCTGGCTGTTTGGGATTCCAGGAGCCCACACTGCTCTGTCCTGACTTAGACAGACGTTTCAGGTCATTCCTACTTAAAAGGAGCAAACTTTGTTCTTTTTTAGTAAATAAGTAGGCTACACTTCAGCTGCTCTCAGGAAAAAAAACGACTTAATAATGCACTTTCCCATCAACAGACAGCCAGGACTTACTGCTGACTTCTCAGATGAAATATAGCAAGATTTGCTTTTGGTGCTACTATCCTGAATAATTACAAGGGAAAATGCAAATACGTATGCAAATAAGGCGCCAGCTGATATCGCCATACACAGCATTGAGCCTGTTGTCATACTGCCTACATGAGAACAGTTACTAGCCATGGGGAGCGGGCACAGGGCGGGCTGGGTTCTGGGTGGTAAAGATAACAGATGCATTGCAAGAGAATTTTGTGTGATTAAATTTCAGCATTTTATGTTTGCTCCTAACCCGTCATTTCAACGGTCTGTGATAGTTGAGTCAGATCCAAAAGGTAACCTCGCTCACCCAGCACTTCTGCTCTGCTTCTGCTTGGCTGTTGTTTGTCAGCCAGAATACAAAATACTCAAGCTACAGCCAACAAGAAGGAAACCTACCACACATCTTGGCTGCGGGGATTTTCCACTGCATCTCTCCTATTATTGATGTTGTTTCTGTAATTATTATTTGTGTAACAATTTCACTTCTAGGTGCACGTGCAAACACTAAGACAGACCCTTTCTCAAAGGGCTGGTCTCCAACCCATGTACCCACTGCGTCCTCTCAGGGAGGGTAAGGTCAGAGATGCACCGTGTCCTGTAGCCAGAGCAGAGAGCTACAAGAGAGAGATTCTGGGTGCTGATGTATCTTTGCCACAGAAACAGTTTTGGTCTGTAACACAGCACTCAATTTAAGCATGCCTCTATTTCTCCACCTACAATATAAAGACAGCAGTAATCCTTTGCCTCAACCAAGGGGTAGATTATGAAGTGTAATTTTTCTGGGGTATACTGTAATCCCATCTTTGCTCTGCAGTCTCATCTCTACATTCAGTGGCAGAGACTACCTGGCAGTAAGTTATTTTGCTTAGCCCCCTCCACAGCTATGTATTTTCCCCAGAGTTGAGATCCACCAAGCACCTAAACCCAAGCAAGCACTGCCTGCTCTTCAACTGGGTGGAGGGACCTTTGAGATGAACTTTCTGTCTCCCCAGTAGAAGGGTTTTAATTCTCATCACTGCTGCATATGGAGCTGATATGCTGAGGAACAAATGAGAAATTACCCCCCAAACCACAGAGATTTACCTGCTGTTATTCTGTGTTTCTGCCCAGGCAGTGAATGGAAAATGCCACGTTCCTTTTTGGTGAAGAGCAAAAAGGCTCATACCTATCATCAACACCGCTTTGTGGAAGATGACCTGCCTGTACTCAAGTGCGATCCAATAACCTCTCCCTTCACTGGTGAGTCAATCCATCCACTGGGCTTGTAAGAGTACACCAAGGCAAATCAATAATTGAGTAGGCAAGCTAAGGGAGTAGGCTAAGTGAGCTAAAGAACAACTAAGGGCTTCCACACGGAGATGTCAGTCTAAGGACAAACTGATCCCCCACTGCGTGCCCTCTTTCTTTAGGCCAAATCCACACTGTCCCACTGAAACTGAATTTAGATCCCCCCTTTTGTTTCCTGCTGGGCTGCTGGGGAGATTTGCGATATAAGATTGCTGTGTAGAGTCGGTCACTTTTGGAAAAGATGGCCAGCTTCAGGCAACTAACAGTTGGGAAACGAGCTTGCACTTGGCTGTCAGTCTTCTGCAAACTCACAGCTCTGCCACCTCCATCTCCAGCTTGCTATGTTTGCTGTCCACATTCTCTCTGGACCTACGTCTTCTCTACCTCAGTGTCTTACCACCTCCTCCCAGTGATTTGCAAGGAAGGTTACAGCTAGAGTGAGAAGATACTAGCGATACCCTAACACTGGCTGTGAAAGGAATCCTACGCATTCACAGGTGAAGGGCTGGCTGCTATATGCTGTACTAACACAAACCAACACTGCTTCTGTCTGTGCCTGCTGGCCTCCCTCTGCTCCTGTTCATGCTCTCCTGCAGCCACCCATGCAGTGGCAGGGCCGGGGCAATTATCTTCTTCCTTCAGGCACCATTCAAATTTTCTTTATTCAAATCTAGGATCAACTTACCCTTTGTTCTACCCTGGCTATCAAATTGGAGTCCAGCCCTGTGATAAGTTTGATAAAAAAGAAAGGAGTGACATTTTAATTTCAATTCCTGCCATCATCCTTTGGCCATTTGTCATGTCTCTCTGGCGCACAAGAGGGTTTGGATGACAGATGAATACTGTCCTTCAGCAGCCCAGTCCCATCTCCAGCAGAAAGGAGGCACATGTGTTGAACCTCTGTCCATTGTAGATTCTTACTATAAAGTCTACTTCTAACAAGTGCTGGTTGGTCTCTTTAATGGCTGGGACAATCATGGAAAAATGGGATTGTGGGCAGGAGGAGGTGAGGCTCTGTTGTCACCTTTGCAACCGTGTAAGCAGTTACCTCCCCTCTCTGCTTCCCTACTTGGCTGTCTATAAATTCAGGTTAACAATACCAAACTCTCTTAGGAGAGGGGTGGGGAGGTTAATAAGTTAGTGATTGTTAGTTACCCGCACAAATGAAAATGGTTTTAAATAGGGAAATTATTCTTATAGACATGTGGCCTTCTAGGGTTAATTTTCTCTAACTATATAGGGTATCAAGTGTCCTATCATTTCTTCCTGCCCCCCTCTACCTTGCCTATCTCATCCTGCTTGGAATTTCCCTTTGCCAGCAATGGACAGACCTTGATTGCCATGCTGATTGCACCACTCTGCACTTATTCAGGGAATTGAGCATGGGCTCATGTATCCAAGCATGAGTTCATACATAAGCACAAAACCCACCTTAATAGACTCTTCTCTTAACAGCAAGAATAAACTAACAGTGACTCTACTGTGTGATTACAGCCATAGGAGAGAAGACACCAGAGGACATCAAGAAACAGGACCTAGAATGCGTGGTTCCAAAACAAGAAAAGGAACCATCTGAACTGAAAGAAGAAAGTGTCCCTGTCCAGTATGTGAGCAGGATGCTGCCAGGCCCTTCAGCTCAAGGTTTGCTACTCCAAGACCACAATTGCAAAAGAGGTCAGGGCTGGGCTGGCTTATGGAGCCCCTATGACTCGGTCCAGATTTTCAGTAAATGGCAGCTCTTATTTTGACATCAATGGTCACACTTGTCCCAGGCAGAGCTCATCAAGAGCATTCTGTATTTCCCTTTACAATTCTGGTCTAGGTCAGCACCTCCCTGAAGGATGACACTATGATTCCAATGAGTGAGCCTCCAAATCTAATGCAATTCCATGCTTTATGGGTCAAGGCAGGTGGCCACATGATACTTGTTCAAACACCACATGAAGCAGGGCTAGTATGGGGGTTAATATTCCCTTTGCATCTCCTCTCCCCTAAAATCTCCTCAGACTGAAATCAAAGTCATAATGGGAACTTTGTATGGGGATCAGGATTTGAATCAAAGAAGGAGTTACCAACTGCAACTCCCAAGGTCAGGCAGGACATTAAATGGGGGAATGGTACCTGGGGAGCTTTTTTACTGGTGCTGAGCTGCAGGCAATGGCATGACATTCACTTCTCCCTCTCCTTTGCAAACTCAGAGATGACCATCCCAGGTCTGCAGATCAAAGACTGCATTAACACGACAAACACGCCTACCTTCTACAAAACCGGCTTTTCTTGGGATGGTTTCCATTTGCCATACAGCTACCGACAGATGTCTTCCACCATGCAGTCAGCCCTCTTGGAGCACCCAGTTAGCCTGTACGGAAGCCACCTCCTGCCGAGCGCTGAGCCCCCTCTGGATTACAGCATGCATTACTCCTCGGACATGGAGACCTACCACTGTGTGAAGTGCAACAAGGTGTGGCACAGGAGAACCTCAGGGATGGGGAGGGCCTGGAGTGTTTTTCATTGTATACATCAGTGTTTCACTGGGTTACACCAAAGTGTAATGTGTGCAGCTCAAAAAGGGTACCTCCTTGTTCTCCTGGCTGGGGACAAGGGCGCTAGGAATGATGCAGTTCACATGGCCCACGAGAGGGAAGAATCAAATAAGAGAAGGAATTGAAAACAGAGGTGGAGACACAGCTGCCTCATGTCAAAAAATCACTGGCATTTTGTTTTGCAGGTATTCTCCACTCCCCATGGACTGGAGGTCCATGTCCGAAGGTCTCATAGTGGGACGCGTCCCTTTGCTTGTGAAGTTTGCGGCAAAACGTTTGGACACGCTGTGAGCCTGGAGCAGCACACCAATATTCACTCCCAGGTGGGTAGCATGTTTCCAGAGAACCAGCTCTCCAGAGCTCCTGAGTGCTTGGACCATAGCTGTTGCTTACTCCATTATAAAGGAAGTGACATTTCCTGGCTTGCAAATGTGATGGCTTTCCTGTAGCACCCAATGACAATGATAGGAGCTCTGAAGAGCATAGATCTTCATAGATCTTCGTCTTCATAGATCTTGGTCTCACAAATCTCAGACTGCCCTTGAGAATTCCTTGGATGGGAGGGGACGGTCATTGCTACTGGTTCTTCTGTGCCTCACCTCCTCCTAAAGGGCTCAGGAGTTTGGATCACAAGATGTAATCCATTTCCATAAGTAACTCTCCCCACATTCTCTTTGTACTGCACACCTAGCATATCAGTCCATGAGCTGAGGAGATTTGCTTATCAAATCTACTATTCTCAATGCTCTTAAACACTCTTCAAGCTCTGTCACATGTCTTGCAGCCACAGACATCCCGTGATTTTCTTTCCCTGACAGGAAAGAAGTTTTGAGTGCAAGATGTGTGGGAAGACATTCAAGCGTTCCTCCACCCTCTCCACTCATCTACTGATCCATTCAGACACACGGCCCTATCCCTGCCAATACTGTGGCAAGCGCTTCCACCAGAAGTCGGATATGAAGAAACACACTTACATCCACACTGGTGAGAAACAAAATATTCTGAAGAAGCAAACGCAAATTAATGTCCATCGCGTTGATACACATACGTAGTCCCCAGACACAGAGATACTGGGCCAGGGATAAGTGTCCAGAGGCACTGGGAAATCATTCTTCCCTGTGCAGTAAGACAGCAAAAGGTCTAAGCATCACTGAGATGTATGTCCTCCTCTGTGTGACAGGGAGGTGGTTGTTGACCAGCCTCCAGTGCATGTCATGGTTGTACCCAGCCCTGGATGCAGACAGGGCATGGGCCACACAGCTGGGGAGGGCTGCCTCTGGTTCTTCTCACCCTCTGGTGCTGGATCAGAGTGCAGAGCCATTAGCAGCACGGCTGGGCTGGCAGCACCCTGTTGCCCAAGCATAGCCAGCCAGGTCTGAGTCTGCTAAAGGACATTTCTACCTCCCTTCTCTCATCTGTCAAAGTGTTTCTTACCATTTTCTCTTCCCTGCAGGGGAGAAGCCCCACAAATGCCAGGTATGCGGGAAAGCCTTCAGCCAGAGCTCCAACCTCATCACTCACAGCCGCAAGCACACCGGCTTCAAGCCCTTCAGCTGTGAGCTCTGTGCCAAGGGCTTCCAGCGCAAGGTGGATCTACGGAGGCACCGAGAGACCCAACACAGTCTCAAGTGAGGGATGGCTCCAGGTCTTTGCTGGAGTTCCCACTGCCAGTGCACCTCCAGCATTTCCATGCAGCGTGCGGCTGCCCACCTCAAAAAGCTCATATAGCTTCCTGTGTTCCCCTGGGGACTGGCAAAGTCGTGTCATTGGCTTTGATGTTCTGGCACCCCAGGGCCTTGCACATCCCAGTGGGTGACAAAGAAACACATGGGACCTCTCACTTTTCAATTACAATAGGTACCAGCCCAGATCTGACATCACCTGCTCAAGTGCAAATCCAGAAGAATTCCTCCAAGGTCACTATTACTCTGGATTAACACCACATGCAGAATTCAGTTCATCAGACTGACCAGCAGTGAGGTGGGAACTCCTGGACTAGTGGCAGCAACAATCTGTGCCAAGCTAATGCCATAACCATGTGCTGCTTTGATGGTTAGGAAGATAAGGCTGGGGCATGCAAATAGATTGTATTCAGTGAGCTGTGTTCAACCTGGACAGTGCTTCTGCAGAGACTTGCCCAGGTCATAAATTCTGGCAACAGACACCTAAAGTCATTTTCTTTCAGCGTAGCATTACTGTGATCAAATGACAAGTTAACTGTGTTGTATTTTTAGCTTGGAGTGGGAGGAAAATACTGAAAAAACAGCTCCTATCCCTAGCTGGTAACAGGGGTCTCTAAATGTTTTCCTCATACGCACCATACAGCAAAGATCCCTGGGTTAGTGGCAGCCAAGCTAGCTGCAGGAAGAGCCATGCCACAGCACTAGGCATAAGCTAATAAGCCCCATGTCTCAGTACCATGTGAGGAAGACTGGCTGCTCTTGGAATCCGGGCTGGTATGTCCCACAATATTTCACTGCATGCTGGACATACCGGCTTAGAGCTGTCCTGGGCAATCCTGTGTCACTGCATGACCAGGAATGGCCAACAGATATCAATGTCAAGGGCCAGAGTTCTGCTTTCCAGCCACTCTCTTAAAGGAGGAAGTGACCTAGCCTGTACACATTGCCATAGCATGTGAGTACCTTACAAATATTATACAAACAGAGCAGTGGTATTTCCTCCTCCTTCTTCCAGGTCTAGGGGTTGAAGCAAAGCACTGGAACAAGTAAAGAACCGGTTCCACTCCAAGCTCTGCTACGTTCTCACTATATAACCTTTGGCAAGTCACTGCTTTTATTTCTCCACCCCTCCTGGTGATGTGGAGTCATTCGCTCAGGTTTGTAGAGTCCCTTGAGTTCTTAACAGGAAGGACAAAGTATTATTATAGCATTAAAAAGACAAGTGCTTTCAGTTAAGCGGGGCATTGTAGCAGCACACAGCCCACTCCATAATTACATCCCTGAACACATGGCCTTGGACAATGACACCGGTGGGAAGTAGCCTGGAGAACGGGCTGTGGCACTAGTCATTTCACTCCGAATGCTTCTGAAGGAAGGCTGCCATCATGGGCAAAGAAGAAACGGTCCAAGTGGAAAAATCATTTATTGCCACGAGAGAAGAGGTCTGTCCTGCCCTCAGTTACACTGCCGTAAATCCAAAGCCATTCTCCTGACTAAAACCTAAAATGTACTCACCCCTGGTTTATGCTGTGCCTAAGCTGTTAGTCATTAATATGCATTCTGGAAGCTCAAAACAGAGTCTGTACTCCTGGCTTTACTTGTACACTGTAAATATGTATTTATACTTATTCTAATGTATATTTTTATTGCACTATACCAGGCAGTGACAACATGTACAGGCCTGCTGGGATTTATCTGATAAATCTGTTCCCTCTCAGTAACTGGGCTAACACACTGTATTTCATGTGAAAAAAATTCATTTCAAGAAAGGCTCATACTTGGCTCTGGAGATGCAAGCAGTGGGGATGGAG